TTTTTTTTTAAAGTCTTTAAAAGAGAATGTTGGCAGATCATTTGCTAAAGTGAAAAAAAGTTATTAGCCTATGGTTATGTCCGATTGAATCAGAACCAATTTTACAAGTGGCCCTGCAGTGGGTTTTCAGAGGCTGTAAATCTCGTGGGAGGAGACTGCACGTCTTTCTCCCATTGAGCACTTAGTGGTTTCAAATCACCTGCCTTGAGTTGGCAATCAGCTCCTTATCATTAGGTCACCAGAGCGCCCTTCTTAGCTGTTAGTCCGGAGAGCTGTATATTCTCTTTTAAGTGTTCCATTTTCTGTGACCAATCCATCAGAGCACTAGTTTGTCACAAAACTGGCTCCTCACAGGCACATGATATGCGTGAGGTCATCCCTAAAGTGGGTTCACTCTGCTACACTGTCCTGGAAATAAGAACAGTGCAGAGAAGGGAAAGACTTTCCTTCCCTTTTTTTTTTTCTTTTTAAAGGTGACATTTTTTTTTGTCCCTGGTTTCTTTAGGATCTCTCCATGGGCTCAGTGGTACACACCATGAACATGGCCACAGTGGGTGATACTTCTACTGTGTACGCACCCAGAGGTGCCGGGCAGCCTGGCCTTAAAAATACATTAACAGTTTAACACGGTCAGATTTCTTTGTCTCAGTTTTTCCCTAAAAATGCTTTATTTGTAGAAATAAGACTAAAATCTTAGGAAATCAGGAAAAACGACGAGGTCCTCCAGGCAGCTCAGAGAGACTCTACGCAATTTTTCAAGCCTAATTTGTCTCTCTGCTCTACCAACCAAACCCACTGCCAGAGTCAATGCAACTCATAGCCACCCTCTGGTGGGTGTCTGAGGCTGCACATCTTTATGGGATGAGATAGTCCACCTTCTTCCAGCAGAGCAGCTGCTAGATTCGAACCACCAGACTTATGGTTTGCATACATTAAACACCATGCCACCAAGGATCCTTTTTTTTTTTTTTTGGCTATAGTGTTCAGTTTTTGCCTGGAAATGGTTTACCTTCATTTCAGTTATTTAAAACACAGTCTTAGAAACTACATCAGGATATCAAAATAAGTTTGGCTTTTACAATAGAATAAAATTCCAAACTCAACTTGAAATCTTATCTCTCAGATGACGAACAGACTCACTTGCTGATGATGAGTGTCTCCTCGCCGCTTATCCAAACTCGCATGAATTCTCCATACATCCTGTTGTAGTAGTTGCAGGCATTGCCGATCCCCATCCACAGGAATCTGCCATGGGAAATGAGGGGGCCGAGTCCCATGCAGTAACCCGGACCTAGGAAACCAGCGTATTCAGTCATCAACATAAAAAATGGAAATCTAATTTTTGTAGTAATTGTCTCTCTTCTTTTAGATTTACATAGTCTTTTACATATTTAGATGTGTAGTCATGAAACACTAAGAAGAGGAAAATGAGATAAAGTAACTTTAGCATGAGACTCTTCACCCCTCAGTGACTGGAAACTGGTCCACTGTGGTCTCTATCACCTCAGCCTGAGGGGGGTGCAGGGGGCTATGTCTGTTACTTGCCTGCCATGCTAAATGACACCAGTGAGTTTCAGATACAAGCCAGCCATCTGTGTGGTAACAGGTATGGAAACCAAAAAAGTGACAAGCCTGTGTATCTGCTTGGCTGCTTGGCTTGGCCTGAAAATTTCTGGTTTTGATAGGATGGTTGGGCTAGAACTGGACAGTTGTTTTCATGGGCTCCTTCCTCACACTCTTTTCTTTGTCTTACTGCAGAAGGACTCAATTTAAGAGAAGAATCTTAAGCTAGTTTCCATTAGGCAAAGAAAGCAGTAGGAACAGGGGAGTGGGCAATGAGTGTAGTTAGTCGATTTTATAAAAATTTCCATTAATTCACTGTTGTACTTTTCTTCCCTCCCAACCCTCCCCCCTAGTACACTACCCTCTTGGAAAAGTAAAAGAAAAATTCTTTCATTCTTTTACAATCCCTCCCCCCAGGTTCACTCCACTATACAACCTTCACTCTAGACTCCTGTCATGAGAAAAATACCTAATAATTTCCCCTCTTAAACAGTTTTCTTCCTCATCTGTTTCAATGCAGTATACATTATTGAACCGATCCTTCTCAGTCGTTTCCCAACCCTGAGGTCAGTCCTGCTTTACAACAGTGGCACCATGCAGTATTTGTCCTTTTGTGACCGAGATATTTCACTCAGAATAATGTCCTCCAAGGTCACCCATTTTTAATAATATTACATGAGTTCCCTGTTTTTCAATGCAGCACAGTATTCCATTGTGTGAATATACCACAGCTTCTCTATCCATTCATTTGTTGATGGGCCCTTAGGTTGTTTCCAACTCCTTGCTATTGTGAACAAAGCCGCGATAAACACGGATGTGCATATATCTGCTTGGATGTCAGTTATGGTCTCTTGGGGTATATTTCCAGTAGTGGAATTGCTAGGTCTAATGGTATCTCTATTTGCAACTTTTTGAGAAAGCGCCATACTGCCTTCCACAGTGGTTGCACCATTTTACACTCCCACCAACAGCAGGATATAAGGAATAAGAGTTCCAGTTAAGTAGGGAAACAACAGCCTTTTTAAACAAAGGGACAAAGGATATTGGCAAAATTGGAAAAGTATGTGCAAAAGACTCAGGCATGATTCACACCTCACTCCATATACAAAAACCAACTCAAGGTGGATCATGGACCTAGGACTAAAACCAAGGACTATAATCTTCATTAAAGAAAAGCTTGGAAGAACGCTTGAAGTCCTAATCCACAACATAAACAGTCTTCCAAGTATCCTGAAAAACCTACAACCAGGAGGAGATAAAACAGATGAATGGGATCTTCAAAGAATCAAATCCCTATGCACATCCAAAAACTTCTCCACCAGGGTAAAAAGGGAAGCCACAGACTGGGAAAAAGTATTTGGTAATGACATGTCAGATAAGGGACTTATATCTAGAATTTATAAAATACTTGAGCACCACAACAAGATAAAGGTAAATAATCCAATAAAAAATGGGCACAGGATATGAACAGACCCTTCACCGAAGAAGACATTCAGATGGCTAACAAGCACATGAAGAAATGTTCAAAATCCCTAGCTCTAAGAGACATGCAAATCAAAACAACTATGAGATATCATCTCACCAAGGTCAGAATTGCAAAATTTGACAGAACAGCAAGCAACACATGCTGGCGAGGTTGTGTAGAAAATAAAGTAGATTTTGAACCCAGGGATCTGTTTAGTCAGGAGCAGTGGCCAAACACTTGGAACTTCGCTTATGTAGATAATGCAGAATGTCAAAGAGTATGAAGCCAGGAAGTCACCGGGGAACATAGAACTGGTCTTTCTGTTAAATGGTATTGATCTTGTTAGATGCCATTGAATCACTCCAACCCACAGTGACCCCATGTACACGAGAATGAAACTGCTCCAGCCTCACAATCCCTGCTGTGCTCAAGCTTATTGGAGTCACTGTGTCATTCCATCTTCAGGGTCTTCTTCTCTTTCACTAACTTGCCACCTTTTCTAAGCATCGTCTCCTTTTCTCCTTTTGCAAGGACTGGCCCCTCCTAGGGCATGATGTTTTGGTGTTTATATATATATATATATATATACACACACACACACATACCCACACCCCTTACTGATCAAGGGGGAAAAAACCCATGAAACAGACACAATCTCAACTGCATTAATCAGTTATTACAAAGTTAAACATAAGACATTTTTTGATGTTGGACCACATGTCCAAAGTATGTGAGATAAAGCCTCACAATCTTTGCTTTTAAGGAACACCCTGACTGCTTTTATAGGAGAAAATAACTCTGGTGGTTTGATTGTACTGATGGTGGTGGAAAGTTAGATGAAAAATTTCTGGGACGATTTTAGGAGTTGCATTGTGAAGTAGATCTAAATCTTTTCCCTGTGATTGCATCTTGTCAGTGAAACCGTTATGAAGCCAGAACGTGCACAGCTAGTTGTGTGAGGCAGCAGCGTCACTCCCTAGGGGAGGGCTGCCTTGTTATAATCTAGCTCTCTTAAGCTTTTGCAGAATAATCTAAATTAGACATTTAGAACAAAAGCCAGCAAAAAAACCCAAACAAACCCCATTTGATATTTAACTTTGTAATAACTGATTAATACAGTTGAGATTTTGTCTGCTTCACGGGGTTCACGCCCCTCCCCCCCTTGAACAATAAGGGTTTTATTTGTATATGAACCAAAACATCATCAAACTGTTATCAATCTGAGGATTGTTCTGGTACTATAATATTTCAAAATAGATAACTGATTTTACATTAAAATTTCATTATGTTCTTAAAAGAGAAACAAGCATATGTGCTCAAATATATGTTGCCTTCAAGTGCCATTGCTAATGCTGACCTCCAGTCACCCAAAATATTCACCAAGACAAAACATTTTACCAGGTTGGCAATTTAAAGAGGCTCAATAAACGTTTCCTGAGTGTCTTTCTTTTCTTTTTCAATTTAAGGCTGCTTGGAAATAGACTGCTTAACAAAGATGTACTGTTTAATATGCCAATTGTATCAGAAACAAAGACATACAAAGGAAATGCTTCACTTTACATCTAAAAAAATTAGTGCCATGTAGAAAGTCCAAGTATTTGAGTATTAAAGTATGGAAGCAGAGAGCTTTAACTACTGAGAAAGGGGGCAGGCTGTTATGAACAATATGCTTAGTTTGAGAATCTGACCATGCTAGCCAGAAAAGAATGATAGTTTTGGATCTTAGCGGTCAATTGTATGTCAATTTCAGATTAGTCTATACGGAATTGTGCTGCTGACTCCAAGATTGTGCCTTTCTGGGTGTTCAAATCTACCAGCAGCTCTAAGAAAGAAAGATGTGCAATCTCTTCTCATGTGATTAACAGCCTTGAAAACTCACTGGAGGTTCAACTATGAGTCGGTTCCGACTAACACCAATACGTTTGAGTTTGAACAAACATTAACTGATATCATACTTGATATAAACCAAAACCCAACCCACTGCCATTGGTTTTCTGACGCTGTAAATCTTTTTGGGAGGAGACACCCATCTTTCTCCCAATAATCCCTAATTGGGGACTGGAGATGGTATAATTTGCACTCCATTAGAGTCTCAGGGGAAGAAAGAAGGAGGTTAGGTGGGGGGAAAATTACAAAGCCAAATCATTATAGCACAGTGTGTTCTCGTCATTTATATATGTATCTTATACCTTGACTGGGGAGAAAACTGCTCTAACAAGGAAGAAAATTGAAAGAATGTATAGGAGACATTGTGATTGTATCCTCACTAAACTGTGTCCTACTTATCTAGAGGAATGCTTATTTAAGTATTCAGGGACTGCGGAAATCTCTTTCACACACAAAGAGGAGTAATACTTTGCTGGTTTGTTTTTTGGTGTGTGTGTGTGTGTGCACGCAAAGATCTTAAAGTCAACAGCTGACATCAGTAGTCATAATTCAGAAACTATTGCATTTAACTCCTAAGTATATATCATAGAGAAATCCAAGCACACATTCACCAAAAGACATGCACATAAATGTTCACAGCAGCCCTGTTCACAGAAGTCTCACTGGCGACAACCCAAATGCTCTTAAGCAGAACTGATGAAGAAACCAAGAGGTGTTCATGTAATTGACTATATGAGAATGAAATTGAAGGAACTATAACAGTATGCCACAATACAGATGAATCTGACCTATACACTAGTGGCCAAAAGTTGTATGAGAGATTAATGTGTGATTGGATTAATAAAATATTAATCATCAAAATTATTTAATAAAATCTTTAATCAGGCAAAGTTAAAATGTATTGTTTGGAGAAGCAAACTTTTCAAAAAATAAGGAAGTGCTTGCCACAAAATCCAGGAAAGAGTTTGCCTGTGGGGGTAAGGTAAGGGGTGTAATTAAGAACAAAATAAGCTAAAAGTTCTGTATTAGGTTGAGTAGAAATGCAGCTTAAAATACAGGCAATTTGGGGGAATTTTTTAAACTTCAGACACAAGATATTTTGTTCCAATCTCTCATATTCCTAGCACTCTGTAGTGATGATAGTAACAATAATTAAAAAGAAAAAGAACAATAATAATTAAAATTGTAGTACCTATGCTCTTGAAAGAAATCCATACTAGGTGTTTTATAGGATTTGAAACAGCTATCTTTCCAGGAGGACTTGTCATTAAAAATGAAAGAAATAGTCACAAGTGATTATTTGACGATCCCAGCATACCTGTTCTATCCTGCTGTACTTTTTGATTAATCAACACACCTTGAAGATTCTATCAAGGCTTGATGTTACAGGGGAACAGTAGGGATCTACATTCTCTCCTGCTTGCCTAATCATTATGGCAACACCATCATCACCAAATCTCCCAGGAAGGAAAGAAGATGAAAAGTAAGGGAAAGAAAAGGGATGCATACAAGAAAGGAGAGAGCAAGGATGACACGAAATACAAGGGAGAAGTAGACTACAGCAGGCATCCCTGAGATGTTTTCATCTTCAGAGAAAAATGAATTAACAAGAAATGCCAGGATTAACTTTCACCTTGCTCCACGCTACTTCAAGGTTGCCGTAAAGGATATTTAAGCTCTGTCAACTTTACCATAATGAAGTACAGCCCAAGAGCCATCTCGTAACTTATTTTTAAAAAGATATTTTAACTCAGAATATATAGATAATAAGAACAAAAGGGTTTGTGTTTTTTTTTTAACCCGTGTCCTCATTTGCCAACATGGTGTGATCTTTACAGATGTCCCCGAGTTGCCTTTTTGTCTTTGTGTACAGTTTTCTTTACACCCACTAACCAAGTAATGACTTGATACAGAAATAAGTGATTTGTTTACCTGGGATTGAGGATGAGCCTTCATGATTCCAAATCAGGAGAAGAAAGCCAGTGAGCAGCAGGATTGGCATGGTGATGACAGGCACGGTCTCGGGCACCACGCTGGTGATGTTATAGTGCATCGGGTTTAGCATTTCCAAAATCATCTTGCTTTCCTTGACTTCAAGGGAAACAACTTAAAGTCCTGTGGAAATCAAAGGATAGGCAAAATGAGAGAAGCCCACACAAGGTTTATCTATGAGTTCTCCTTTCAAAGATAGCACCCAGCAGGACTCTGTTTTGTTTTATAATGTGTCCTGACATTCAGACATGACAAATTTGTGGCTACAAGTCAAAGCAAACAAACCCAAGGGAGGTCTTTTGGCCTGAGATACATAGCATTTCTGGCCTTGGTAGAGGGTCAGGTCCATTCAGACGTTTGGTCTGATAGAGCTTTATCAGGTTGCCCTTGAGTGGGTAGAGTGACGTGCATTCCCAACCCAGAGCCACATTTCTTACCAAGATACAAGAAAAGGAAGCCCATTCCAGTGGTAGAAGAATTCCAAAACGTATCAGCAGGTTTTAGTTAGGTAATCTTCTTCCTTGGTAGCCAAATCAATAGTAATTAAAAAAAAAAATCAATCCTCAAACCCTTTTCCTTGCTCTGAACTCCTTCCCCCAAAACAGTAAGCATCTAACAAAAACAGATATCTTGGATGTTATTAAGGGATTTCTAGCCCCCCATTACGCTGCCTGAGGAATTTAGCGTGACTCAGGACAGTCTTTTTCTCTTTGTCTTAATGAGGATCTAAAAATCTCTTGAACCACAGACTAGGTTCAGCATGTCTGTGAAGAAGAAAAGACAGGAAGAGTACAATGCTGCCAGCAGTACGCTCAGGTGTTACTCAGCTGCCTCGGTGCCAACAGTGGATAAAATTCCTGAGCCGGGCAATCAGTTTTCAGTTTGATCTGCTGGCTTTGCTGCTGTGGGATTCAACAGCATTACTCACAAGTCTCTCTTTTCAGGCAGTCTTTTTAGTTCTTATACCTCATTAAAAGAGTCTTAGCAATGGTGACTTGAAGAGGGGTACTTGTGTGCTGGAAAAAGCCCAGTTGACCCTCTACTCATAATGATTCCATCTTGGTTTGGAAGTTCCCACTGAAACCTGACAGAGATGATGGCCATCCATAAAGAGCACAGGTTAGGTTTGAACCCAGATATCTCACACAGATGGCAAGAATTCTACCATTGAGCCACCAAGGAAAAGATCACCATTAAGTATGTTTTTTGTCAAAAGGTGTGCCATAAGATTTTTCTTCCCTTACAATTTCAGCTTGCTTCACACGCTTGGCACCGACAGTCAGGAAATCAAAAGAGGAATTGCACTGGGAAAGTCAGCTGTCAGGGACCTCTCCAGAGTGCTAAAGAACAAGAGTGTCAGTCTAGAGATTAAAGTGTGTCTGATCCAGGCCATGGGCTTTACAATTGCTTGCTATGCATCAGATAGCTGGATAATGACTAAGGATGACAGAAGAAGAATCTATGCCTTTGAACTGTGGTGCTGGAAAAGAGTATTGAACATATCATGGCTCAGATGAACTTTATAATTTTTGGCTTTACTTCCAGGTCTCTGATCCACCTTGATCTGATTTTTGTGGAGGGTGTGAGATGTGGATCCTGTGTCAGTTTTCTGCAGGTAGCTGTCCAGTTTGGAGGCAAGGATTTTGACGCTTAATCCAACATACTTTGAGCATATTGCCAGGAAAGACTGATCCTTGGAAAGGGACATTCATGCTTGGAAGAATGAAGGGAAAGCACTAGAGAGGAACACAGATTGACACAGTAACTGGGGTAATGGGGGTATGTGAGTCATAGACAGTGAGCTTGGCTCATAACAGAACAGGGTTAGAGCTATAGTGTATAGGGTCACTATGAGTCAGTCACAAGAGATTCGACGGCACATAACAACTCCAAAAAACCATAACTGCCACCCAAGCAGGTATATGCACATCCATGTTTATCACAGCTTTGTTCGCAATAGCAAAGAGTTGGAAACAACCTAAGTGCCCATCAACAAATGAATGGATAGAGAAGCTGTGGTATAGTCACACAATGGAATACTACACTGCATTGAAAAACAAGGAACTCATGAAATATTATACAAAATGGGTGACCTTGGAGGACATTATGCTGAGTGAAAAATCTCAGTCACAGAAGGACAGATACTGCATAGTGTCACTGTTGTAAAACAGGACTGATGTCAGGGTTGAGGGGAGACTGAGAAAGAGGGGATAAATAATGTACACTGCATTGAAACAGAAGAGGAAGAGAGCTGTTTAAAAGGGATATATGATTAGGTATTACTGTCATGAAAGGAGTCCAGAACAAAGGCTGCATAGTGGAGTGGACTTGGGGGAGAGGGATTGTATAAGAATGAAAAGTGTTTTCTTTTACTTTTCAAAGAGAAGAGCCAACTGGGGGGAAGTGTGGGCAGGGAGAAAAGTGCAACAATGAATGAGTGGAAATCCAAAGTCTCTGTAAATTTTCATTAAAATTAATAATAAAAAAGTACACACTCAAACAAGAATTTCAAGTAGAGTAAAAAATTTAATGTAAATAAAATAATAACATATATATTTTTTTTTTTAAAGTCTTGGACTGAGAAAGGACATAAAACAGAAAAGGCATAAACTGTAAAGTTAAAACCATAGCTAGTTTGGTGCATAACAAAATGTACAAATTTATAATACCATAAATAAAATTAAAGGCCAAGTTAAAAAAACACAAAAAATCCAAAAAAAGAATACCTTGGATTTGTAGAAACTACAACAGCTTTGAAACAAGACTTTGCTTGGGTTTTATTTACCTATTATTTAGCCATAAAAGTGTAGAGTTTTGGCCAAGGTTTTTAACTGAATTCCAGCATCCCTATGAATTCCTAAAAACTAGACAAAATGGCTCATTGGGTTATATGCCACAAATGTTGATAAGACTCTTAAAGAGCATGTGATTATATTTCTGTGATAATGGCTAAACACCTAATCAGAAGCTACTGACTACAGACATATTTCACAATACAGTTTAATTCATTCACCTGCTCTAGTTCTCAATGGGAGGAGTCACCAGATAACTTCCAGCAAGAGCTCTTCCAGAATAGAGGTTTTAGTGGACAGGAAGAATGAGTAGTTCGGGGAAAGTGGACACAATCAGACATAAACACAAAATGGATAGAAATATAAAACAGAGGGTCTGTTCCCCGGTCCATGCACGTATCCCCCCTTCCCCCAACTCTGCCTCTCGTAGGGTAAAAGTGTGTCTAATGCAACATTGGTGGACGATTTATCAACAATCTGCGTTATGCGGATGACACAACCCTGCTTGCTGAAACTGAAGAGGACCTGAAGCGCCTGCTGCAGAGTGTCAAGGACTGCAGCCTACAATATGGATTGAGGTTCAGTGTCAAGAAGACAAAGATTCTCACCACTGGACCAATTGGCAGCATCAGCATGGATGGTGAAGAGATTGAGATTGTACACAGCTTTAGTTTGCTTGGCTCCGTAGTCAACAGTCTTGGCACCAGCAGCCAGGAAATTAAAAGGCGCATTGCAATGGGAAAGTCTGCTGTTAGGGACCTCTCCAAAGTGCTGAAGAGCAATGGTGTCTCTTTGGAGACTAAGGTGCATTTGATACAGGCCATGGTCTTTGCAATCACCTGTTATGCATCAGAGAGTTGGACAATGACCAAGGAGGATAGAAGGAAAATTGATGTCTTTGAGCTGTGGTGCTGGAGAAGAGTATTGAGAATACCATGGACTGCTAGGAAAACAAACAGATTTGTCCTGGAAAGGGTTAAACTGAGTGGCTCCTTGGAGGCAAGGATTCTGAGGCTCCGTCTAACATACTTTGGTCATGTTGTGAGGAGAGACCGGTCCTTAGAGAGGGACATCATGCTTGGGAGGGTGGAGGGACAGCGCAGGAGAGGAAGGCCCTCTATGAGGTGGATTGATTCAGTGACTGGGATAATTGGGATGGGAGTGTCAGAGACAGTGCGATTGGAACAGGACAGAGTGGAGTTTAGGGCTGTTGTACATAGGGTCGCTATGAGTCGCAGGCGACTCGATGGCACATAACAACAACAACAACAATGCAATAAGCATGCCTGTACCAAACCCAGGCCCAGTTGGGGTCCCTAGAGAATCCCCAAAATGTCCGCTAAGCCGTATGACAGCACAACGGAACCACAGGTGGGGATCCAGTCAAACTCCGTGGCTTCAGAATAGCGTCAGCCAAGGAGTCTCTTCACAAGCATTCAAAACGTTCATTTAGCGGAGATACACAGAGAACAGGAGAGGAAAAGGGGCTGTACCTTTCTGTTTGAGGTCTTGACAACACGTGGGCTGATAGGTTCAAGAGAGAGCAAGGTGGTGCCGCACTTGCCCTGAAGGAGGGTGGGGGCACAGCACACCTTAACTCGTCTCCTGGGTTTTGTGCACCAGACAGAAGGTTGTGGACTTGAGGAAAAGGGACCAGAGAGAAAGAAAGCAAGCTTAAAGCTGCTTTATGAAGGGAACTCCTAGGTAAGCTTCTTTAGATCTGGAGAGAGATACCAGGGGATCTGTGCCCCAAGGTGGATTGCTGCAGGTTTTTATAACAAAGTCTTAGGGAAGGGGGAAGGGTAAAGAAAGTCTAGTATAGTTAGTTGTAGGTCACACCAGGTAGGTGAGTCTGTTCGTTCTTGATGATGTGCTACAATTCCCAGTTTTCTATGCTGTCGGACCATATTCTTCAGTTGACCATTTACAGGACTAAAGAACGCACCATGTCACCAAAGGACAAGACAAATTTATCATCTCCCTCCCCCCCCCCCACCCCTGCCTCAGTTTCGGTTCAATAAAAGCCGAACCAATAAAAGAGCCTAGGTAGGCTCAAGAGTCAGCCACATAGCATAGGCTGCAAAAGCTGCTGCTTAAGGAAACAGGTAACTCAGCCCCACAAGGACAAATATTGTGTAAACTAATAGATGGTATACCAATTGAAGTATTTCAGCTAACAGATGCTGCCCTGGATGTGCTCACCAAGTTGTGCCAAGAAATCTGGAGAACAACCACTT